AGCCTCTCTTAGGGCCAAAGGTCATAGCTTTTGTCACATCTAGATTTTTTTTTTTTTTTTGTCAAAGCAAATGAGTCTGTGGAGCGCCGCACCGACTTCATCAGTCAGTTCTCTTAGAAGGAGGATGCCGGCACTTAACTTCACAGAACATTCCATAACATGAGCTTTTCTCACAAAGATCATAGCAGGAAGAATGAGGAAAACAGATGTTGCTCATAAGGCTTCTAACAGACGTGTTTCCATTGTAAGCCGATCCCACTCTGAGCCTGGAGTCTGCCCCGTTCGCTGTGTGGGCCGAACATTTCAGTCTCATAGTTTGGCAGAAAGTTTATCCTGACCTTTGCCTGTTACCTGAAAACTCTGATGAAAATACTCCTGAGAGAATGAGTTCACATTCTTCCAAAGACTTCATTCTAGTAACCAAATCAATTCTCTTCTGTAATTATTTTATCAAATACAGAGCATTTTCTGGGCCTGGCTGGGAAAAAGAGGAAGGACGTAAATCTGGTGTAACGATCTCAACAGGTCATTGTACCACAGCCCCAAATTAACCTTCAACTCTACCCCGCTCCCTGGCTGCCCAGGACCGCAGGGACTGCCGGAAGTCAGCCTGCAGAAGTTTCTCATTAGCCTTGAGCACAGCGACAGCTCTGGGCCCCCAGGGAGGAGCAGGGTTTTCTGGGTTTGTCCTATCTTATTTGTAACTATACCCTTTTCCCTTCCTTCCTTTCTTTTATGTTTTTATGGTTTTATTGTGCCATAACTGACATACAATAAAGACACATTCTTAAAGTGCAGTTTTATAAACTTTGAAGTGTGATATGCCAGTCTCTATGAGTGGCTCCATCATTCCCATGCCCTTCCTTAACCCTTTCTTCCTGCCCCATCTCATCCATTTGGATGCCTCCACTTGGAGCTGTCACAGTACGGCTGCAGGGAACGTTCCTTTACAAGTCTCTACATGTCTGCCTCCGTTTACCTTGGGTAAATAGCTAGAAATAAAATAACTCAGTCATATGGTAGGTTAATTTAACTTTTTTAACAGCAGTTATTTTGATTTTGTGTGTGTGTGTGTGTGTGTGTGTGTGTGTGTGAGAGAGAGAGAGAGAGAGAGAGAGAGAGAGAGAGAGAGAGAGAGAGTTTGCCTGCGTGTTTGTCCTGTAGCACCTGTGAACCTGGTGCCCTAGATGGCCAGAAGACAGCTTGGACCCCAAGTTGCAGACTGTTGTGAAGTCGACTATGGATGCTGGGATGGAGCTCCTGTCTTCTGCCAGACTAGCCTGGGTTTTCAATTACTGAGCCCTCTCTCCAGCCCCAAACTGAACTTTTTACAGCACTAATAAATCACTTCCCAAAGTGACCTTATCATTTTACACTCCCAGGGGCCAGTTAGATGGCCCATGGGTAAAGGCATGCGCAGAGCGAGGCTAAGACCCTGAATTCAGTCCCCGGAACTCTCATAACTGATTCTGTCACAGAGTCCTCTGATGTCCACCCACTGCGGCCACATTCCGTCACACACGTCATCCACCTGTGCAGTAATAATAAATAACGTCTTCTTCCCATTCCCTTTGTCAGTGTGCTTAAAGTTTCGGAGGATGCACACCCTCGCCGCAGCTCCCTCCAGGCTGTCTTGCTACGTTGTCATTTTAGTGACTGCAGTGGCATTACTGCCACTCTGACTTGCGGTTTTTGGGTTGTTTCGTTTTTTTAATGAATAATGGTGCTGTACTCTGTATGTGCATTTGGCATGTGTTTCTCTTTGCTGGGTTTTTTGTTGTTGTTGTTTGTTGTTACTGAGGCACAGAGTGAGTTTGATGAAATCTGAATTATTCTCCTTCTATGAAGTTTGTACTTAGGGCAGGGTTGTCGCAGCGGCGGAGGCTTCTGAAGTCACCAAGCAGACCAAGCTCACAAAGATGGCCCCTGTAATTTCTCAAATACCGTAGTCTTATTTTTTGTTTTTCTTTGGATTTGTTTGTTTGGTTTTTGGTTTTGCAGTACGGGGACCGAGCATAGGGCCTCTCACGGGCTGGCCACCCCACTGAGCAGAACGCCCAGCCCTTCACCCCCAATTAACTTTTTTTGAAATTCTATTTCTGATTTTTGAGACAGGGCTTCTGACAATGGCCAGCCAGGTCTCTTGCCTCAACCTCCTTAGTAGCTGGGCTTACATAAAGCCATGTTCTGCATGGCTTCTGGTTCTGCAGAGCTGGCGGCAGCCCTGAGTCTTGGCCCGCTAGCATTTCCTCTCTGTTACCTGGGTTTAGTTTCTTTCCCTTCGTGCAGCCTTGTTTTCAGTGGCTGATCTTACACGACTTTCTCAGACTTATTCCTAGGTATTTCACAAGTTTGATACTATGCGTAAATAGCATTTGGAATATTACTCTTTAATTGCTTGCTATTAGAATTGCTACCTGTGCCAGTAGAGCTCCCGGGTTGATTTTTAAGCTGCTGTCTGTGCAGCTTTACTAAACTCGCAGTGCTGGGAACGGTTGTCTAGATTCCGTGGGTTCTTAGATTCAGTTTTGCATGTGTGCAGGGATTTTGTTTGTGTTATTTTGGTTTTTGTTACCCAAGCTGGCCTCAAACTTCACTGAGTGGCTGGGGATGATCTTGAATGCCTAATCTTTTTCACCAGCTCCTAGGTGCTAGGGTAATGGACTAGAATTCTGATCTCTGGCATTATTGACCCATAGAGCACTTAGCAGCCCCCTGCGTTGGTGATGCACAGATGCACATTTCCAATCTTTCTTTTTCTTCCTTTCTTTCTTTCTTTCTTTCTTTCTTTCTTTCTTTCTTTTTTTTTTTTTTTTTTTGAGGGAAGAGGTTAGGGCAGGGTCTTACTGTGTAGCTCTGGTTGCCTGGAACTCTCTGCATAGACCAGGCTGGCCTCAGAGTCACACAGAGCAACCTGCTCCTGCTTGCCACCACTCCTGGCCTTGCCTGCTGTCTTGAGTTGCAGGCATAGATGATTCTGCCTTCTTCATACTGAAAGTGACTTCCTTCTCCATCTTGATGGCTCACTTTGATCCACAAATGTCTCCACAAGGATGTTGAAGAACACTTGGACTGGGCAGATGGTGCAGGGGCAGGAAGATGCCAACTCAAGTGTGAGGCCATCCCAAGCTACATCATGAAACCCTGCCACAAAGTGTGTGTGCGGGTGCGAAGCGGAGGGCAAACATTCTTGCTTTACTTTTAGCCTTAAGGAGAAAATGAAATATTCATCCCTTACCTTAAAATATTAGCAGTAAATTTTTATAAATTTCTTTCTCAAGTGGAAAAGTTCATTTCTATACCTCTTTTTCTAAATTATGAAGATTAGGACTAGCTATTAGATGTTGTCAGAAAGTTTTTCTCTATGTATTCAGATGATCTAATGTCTTCACTCTTAGCTTGTCACATTACATTGATATTTTATTTTTTCAAGACAGGGTTTCTCTGTGTAGCCCTGGCTATCCTGGAACTAGCTCTTGTAGACCAGGTTGGCCTCAAACTCACAGAGATCTGCCTGCCTCTACCTCCTGAGTGCTGGGATTAAAGGCGTGCTCCACCACCCACCGCCCAACTTTTTTTTCCTGCCTTTTTTAAGATTTATTTTATTATTTTATGTATATGAGTGTTTTGTTTGCATGTACAGCTATGCACCACACGCATGCTTGATTCCTTCCCCAGGAGGTGGTGAGCCTCTGTGGTGCTAGGAATCGAGCCCGGGTCTTTGGCAACAGGTGCTCTTAACCACTGAGCCAACTCTCCAGTCCCCTGTTCCCCCCTTTCTTAAACCCTTTGTGGCTACTGTATAATATTTGAAGAAAATTGTTTCATATAATTTTTTTTATTTCAACTGTTCCTAAAAGAAGAATAACCCTGGCTCCTTTTATTCCTTTTGGTAAGAAGCTGATTCAGTGCTGTTTTATGTTATACCCCCCTCCCCCCGCCAAGGTTTCTCTGTGTCATAGCTCTGGCTGCCCTGGAACTTTCTCTGTAGACCAGGCTGGCCTTGAACTCACTGAGATCCGCCTGCCTCTGCCTGGGATTAAAGGTGCAAGCTTCCACCGCCTGGCCCTTTGCTATCTGCTGTTTTTATGTAACTGTCAAATCGATCAGGTGCTCAGCTGGGGAAGTTAGTGGATTTCATTGCTGCCTGTGGGAAGAATACCTTCTCTCTCTGGCTCTCCCTCCCTCTCTCTCCATCTCTCTTCCTCTTCCTCTCTCTCCCTCTCATCTCTCTCTCTCTCTCCCTCTCTCTACCTATCTCTCTCTCTCTCTCTCTCTCTCTCTGATTTGGTTGGTTTTGGAACAGACTGTCACCGATCTCAGGCAGGCCTTGGATTCACTCTGGAGCCTAGGATGAGCTTGAAATCACGCCTCTCCTGCCTCTGCTTCCCAAGCACGAAACTGCAGGTGTGCACTGCTGTGCCTGAAGCCTGCAACTCTCTCTTAAGAGACCACAGGGCTTTCTTGAAATAGCGTTGTGCTAGGAATAAGTAGGGAGGAAGGCTAACCTATAGCTTCATCAGCAAAGACCCAAGTTATGCATTCAGCAGAGCTTGCGCTCAACTTTCCCTCTAAGTGCCCTGTGTGTGGTGTTTGTGGGTGGCGTGAAATCAGGGAGGAAGACTTCGCTTCTCACACTTTCAGAGGTTGCAGTAAAGCCAAGCAGTTCACAGACGACAGCCCAGAAGCAGAGCCACTGTCTGCGCTGCAGCTTCCTCTTTCCCCTTCCATCCACTCAGGGCCCAGCTACCTACTAGGTGGTGCCACTCACGGGCAGAGCAAGTCTCTCCCTGTAGTTACCGACATGCTTACGGTCACACTCTACTAGTCCACTAGGTGCGTCTCCATCCACCAAGTAGACAATCAAGGCTAACCTGCACGCCGAGACCAGTCATTGTTTTTTAAGACAGGGTTTCTCTGTATAGCAGCTCTGGCTGTCCTGCAACTCGAGCTCTTGGTGATATTACACACACTCACGTTCTCTCTTTCGTCTGCTCTAGGGTTCCTCTCACAACTGGTCTATGACAAGCCTCTGACAGAATGCGTCCGTGCAGGCCACTATGCAGCTAGCGTCATCATTAGACGGACTGGCTGCACCTTTCCCGAGAAGCCGGACTTCCACTGATGGAAGAAAGAAAACTCAGGCTGGAGGCACAGGCTGCAGTGACCACGTCCTGAGCGTTCTCCCTGCCAACTCTGAAACCATGATTCTCATTCTTAATTTAGAGCTCAGTGCTGCTCCTAGAGCCTTTAGTCCCTGAAATCCGAGGAAAAATGTTTATTTCCAGAGTTTCTTAGTGCTTCGTCAATGTCTAACAGGATCACAACATTTCAATAGAAGCTTTTATTTCATTTTTGATTGTTTGTAATTTCATCTGTATTTAGTAAACTGATCAGTTTTTTTTACATTTCTGCTTTCAATACAGGTGCAATTTAATATAATAGACTTTTAAAAGAAACTAATGCTAACATCATTCTTGAGCTTTTTATAGAAATATTTAATTTGGAAGTGTGTATGCACACACGTCTCATATATATACATATAGGTATGTGTGTATATATATCTATATATATCTGATAACTCGTCAAATAAGGTACAGGAATGTTTATCACACCAGATTACTCCCTATCAGCTCTTCAGCGGCCTCAGACATGTGATGGCCACGGAAAATAAATCCCCCAACATTTGCATCATGTTCCATGTTACTCAAATTGTACCCTTTTGCTTCCTGATGGTACTCTGTAATTTGATACAAATAAATTGCTATATAGGAATCTTTTCTGTCTTGACTTATGCTCAATAAAACTAAGGAAGAAATTGTTGTAGTATTGTGCCCTATATGGTTTTATTGATGGGGTGAGGAAAAGAAATGAAGCATATTATATATAAATATCTATGTGCATACACACACACACACCCCACATATATTATAACAGACAAGTATTCTTTTTGGGTTTGTGTTTTCATTTCTTTCAGGGTGAAATGCAGTAGTAGAATTATTAGATCATATGTAAACCTTCTTCTTTTCTTGAGACAGGGATTCACTGTTAGTTCTGTCTGGCCTGGAGCTCACTCTGTACATCAGGCTGGCCTCCAACTTACAGAAATCCACCTGCCTCTGCCCCACAACTCCTTGTCATATGTTACTTTTTTTTTAGGATTTTGCTTTATTGATATAAATTTATCTACTTTTTTTTAGGATAGTATTGGGAGGGAATTTCAGTGAGTACTGAAAATCTGCCTGTGTTTAATTTCCAACTGTAACCTTTTTTAAGGAACCACAAAAGCTTTTCAAAACAGCTTCCTTCTGTGGTGGCTGTAATTGTAGCACTCAGGAAGCTGAAATTCATGATTACAAGCTCAGGGCCAGCCTGGGCTACTTCACAAAAGTCAATTTTCAAAAACAAAAGCATATTTTTGTACATGCAGAAGTGTCCAGTCCAGCCTGGCGATGGTGGCGCACGCCTTTAATCCCAGGACTCGGGAGGCAGAGGCAGGTGGATCTCTGAGTTTGAGGCCAGCCTGGTCTACACGAGCTAGTTCAGTCCCAGCGTCTCCACACACTTGTCCAGCACTCACTCGTGCCTGTCCCCACAGTATCAGCCAGCTTACTGCAGGAATTTTGTGTGTGAGGCGTGCATGTGTTGGTGCAGGGCCGCAAGTATATTCGGGTGCAAACATATGCTTGCATAGCCAGAAGTCAGCCTGGGCGTCCTGCATGCAGTGTCCACGTTGTGTTTTGAAGCAAGGTTTCTTCCTGGCCTGGAATTTGATTGACCCAGGCTCTAGGGATCTCCTGTCTCTGCCTCCCCAGCACTGGGGTCACAAGCATAGAGCACTGTCTGCTTTTTTATGAGGGATTCCACATCTGTGCTACCTCACTGCGGACCAAGCAGGTGAACAAGACAAGCCGGAACACAGTGTGGTTGCAGGGCTTGGGTAATTGTGGTAGACAGACTGAGGAGCCGACCTGTGGTGCCTGCACCCCTTAAGAGTCCTTTTCTTTCTCTCTTCCTTCCCTCTTTTTTTTTTTAGGTTTTTCAAGACAGGGTTTCCTCTGTAGCTTTGGAGCCTGTCCTGGAACTAGCTCTTGTAGACCAGGCTGGCTTTGAACTCACAGAGATCCACCTGCCTCTGCCTCCCAAGTGCTGGGATTAAAGGCATGCGCCACCACCACCTGGCCCCCTTGAGATTCCTAATAGCAATACAAGGTTTCTGCTTTGCACACATCCTCGGTCACCGACACCCATCGCCGTGGCGTGAAGTCTCTCACTGTGACTCGCACGTGCTGCCGGCTCTTTCTGTTACTCACTTGATGTGTCTTAAGATCTTTTTCTGACTCTGTGAGTAATTTTCCGTCTGTTCCATATGATGACTAAAAATGTCTCTAGCGTCATGGAGGTTGTTTCTAGAGGTGTCATGTCCAAACAAGATGTCTCACTTTCAGTGCAGTCCAGTTGTGACTATAGCTTTCCCTTTTTTTTTTATATATAACCAGCTTTTTCTGTACAGCCCTGTCTATCCTGGAACTCACTCTGTAGACCAGGCTGGCCTTGAACTCAGAGATTTGTCTCTGCCTCTGAGTGCTGGGATTTAAGGTGTGCACCACCTCTACTTCTATATTGTATCTTCAGGGTTAAGAGCACAGGCTGCTCTTCCAGAGGACTCAGATTCAATTCCCCATTATGGCAGCTCACAGCTGTCTGTGATCCCAGGCCCAGAGAATACAGTGCTCTCTTCCAGCTTCCCTGGGCACTGCCCATACTTGGTGAACAGACATACATGCAGGCAAACACCCATACACATTGAATTTTAAAAAGGAAAAAAAAAAAAAGCTTTTTTGTTAAAGAGCAGTAGAGAGATCTAAGGATGTGGCTCTCGTTTCTCTTCAGAGCCCCTGGGTTGGTGCAGAAACCAGCCTGGCTCACATAGTAATGGACAATCATACACATAATGGACGCTGCGGGGAGGGGGCAGGTTGAACACGTGGTTTTTAAAATTATCCCACTTTTTCCTGTGCTGATTTTTGCAGCACACACCAAGATGAATGATACAGACTAGAGTAGCATGGTCCCTGTGCAAGGTTGACACACTAATTTATGAAGGATTCCATATTAATAAATAGATTTTATAGAATGTAAATATATATGTATATTTACCTTTGCTCAGCAATTCTGAAATTCTGTAAAGTAGTTCCAACAGCCAGAGGAGTTGGCTTCGCCTTGAAGACCTTCCTGTAACTACAGACCGATGTTCCCTGGTCTGTCTGTGTCAGCCCAGCTTCCATGCTGCTGATCACTACTTTGGAAATATACAGACAAAAAACAACTTTCTAAGCAAGTGCCACTTAATGATGTGTCAAAACGAAGCTATCTTAAGTCTTAAATCCACCAGATGAAGTTAACTGAGCCTGACAGTATCGTCCCAATTCATGGTTGTACTGAAAGTACAATGTCCGTGTAAGAAGTTTGGGATATAATGATGTCTCTGATTTATTTTCTCCAAAAAGACTGAATCCCACTCTCCTTAAAACGAAAGGCAATTCTTGATGGTCCTGTATAGAAGATGAATAAACAAGAGCTTTGAAAGGCTTAATGGTCCCACGGAGCTACCTGGGCCCTAATTCCTGTAGCCTGTGACACACGAGATAGCTGCAAGAACACTGTAGATACAGTAAAGAAGTTAGACCTTAAAATAAGACTCTACTGGACTATCTAGGGAGCCTTGGTCTAGTCACAGGTCCTGTAAAAACAGAGAACTTTGTCTAGCTGGGAGCAGCAGAGGAGGGCAGTAAAAATCAGAGGGATTGGAAAATCAAGAAGGACCTAAAGTACCACTGATGGCATTAATGTTGTAGGGGCGATGTGACAAGGTGTACAGGAAACTTCAATAGCTGAGAGAGGGTCAGGCCAACAGTCAAAAAGGAAGGGGAGTCAACAGCAAGGAACTGTCTTTGACCTTCACCCCAAAACAGCTTGCTGGTCTTTCCCTAGAGCTTTAAGCAAGCAGAGCCCTGCTGAGGGTTGGGGGCAGCATTCTGCAATCCCAAGGTGTCGGGGACCATCCTCAACAAGAATACCTCTCGCCAGGATAGAGGCGTGGGGATTAGAAATATGGTAAAGAATATGAAGATGTGAATGAAACTAATGAAACAGAGAAACATATAGGATAGAATCGGGAGGGAATTCCAGTGAGTACTGAAATTCGCCCACATTTAATTTCCAATTACTTTAAATATCCATTGTAATGGATTAATTAAAAATGCTGCAGGATCCCCAGCAGCTGCAGCAGCAGACATGCACCAGTTTGCTGAGCCATGGCAGCAGGCCATGTGGCGGCAGGCAACGGGCCCTGAGAGCAGTCAGTCCCAGGCAGGGACTGCACAGTTCCCCAAGTGTCTGCAGCAGGCTATGAGGAGAGAGAGACAGATGGTCATGCCACAAGACCACACTGCTGGTCTCGTGGCAACTGGTCCCAGACAGGAAACCACATGGTAGGCACGCATGCAGAGTGAGGGTTTTGAAAGACCTGGATAAATCCAGACCCCTCTAGCAGGAAAAAAAGAGCTAAAAATCTAGGTTAGCCGGTTCAGTGACTCTGTTTTAGGAACTAGCTGAAGATAAAGTTAGATTATAATCTTGAATAATCTTGAGAAACAGGGAGTTACCCCCTTGTGATTATCACTGGTATTTTCTGAATTTTTCAATGATCACTGGTATTTTCGGAATTTTCCAATGACGTCCACCCTGTTCCCTTTGGATTACTGGGTCGCATTTTCTTCCCTTAAATACCCCTTCTCCCAGCTACTTGGGGTCGAACTCTCTACCCCAGTGCACTGGTTCCTGTCCTGTCAATAGACCTCATGTGATTGCAGCAAGGAGGTCTTTCATGAGATCCTGGGCCGTCGTGTTATCCTGAGAGTCTCCGCACTCTGGAGGTCTTTCAGTTTGATATTTATTTAGTGGTTTATGAAAGGGAAGGGGAGAAGAGCAGAGAGAGAGAGAGAGAGAGAGAGAGAGAGAGAGAGAGAGAGGAAAAAAGCCACTTAATTAATATGGCGGTGAAGTCACCTGATCTCAGTCAAAATGGAAGCAGTCACATGTTGTATGGAAAAGCCACGATTTTTGAGCTACAGGGATTTTAAGTTTAATAATAAGAGAGACCTAGAGGCGTGACCAGCCCTATCACTGAGCCACCATGTCACAAGCCATAGCAGGGAGGAAAAGGCTGGAATTAAAAACAGCCACCTCGTGGATCTGACCAATCTTGTTGGCAGCAGTAGCAGTGGCAAAGATAGTTTGAGGAAACTCTTTCCATTTGCCTGTGTGCTGACAATAGTTAGAAAGCTCCCTTAAAAGTGGAGCCAACGGGACACCAGCAGAGTGAGGGTAGGAGCTGAAGTGGGGCATTAAAGCCTGGGGTTTTAGGGCTTCTAAAAGGCTTCTCGGCCAGCGACCTGGTCCAGAAACAGTGAACTCCACCAGAACAGGTACAGGAAAGTAACTGCTGAGCAAGTGAGCCAGAGCCATACACCACTGAGGGTCTGGACATGAATCTGGGATCTTCAAGGGAGTAGACCTAAGTCAGGATCCCTGTAGGTCTGGGTATGAGTCTAAAACCTCCCAGGAATGAGGCCTAGGCCAGGACCTCTGCCAGTCTGGGCGTGAATCTGGGACCTCCAAGAGAGTAGGCGGGAACCAGAGATCTCTACAGAGCAGGCATGAGACTGGGAACTCAGAGGGAATAGACCTGAGCAAGGACATCTGTGGTTCCAGGTATTGGTCTCGGACACCAAAGGGAATAGGCAGGAACCTGGAACCTCTGTGGGTCCGAGCATGAGTCTGGGACCTCTGAGGGAGTAAGCCTGAGACAGGACCTCTGCGGTTCTGGGTGCACCAAACCTTGGAACTCTGAGATAATAAACTAGAGCCAGAAACCTTTGTGGGACCAACTCCAAGCCAGGGACTTCTGCAGGAAGGGATCCAGACCAAGATTTACAGAAACAGGTCAAAGCTAGTAACCTAGGCCAAAGTAGGACAGAGACAGCAAACTCCAAGGGAGCAGAGCAATGCACAGGAATGCTGAGCTATCTCCAGAAACACTGAGTAACAAGCAAGGTAACTAGAACTGTGGCACTGACTATACCATGAGGAACAACCATCTGAGCTTTGGATTCACTGGCAACTAGAAGATTAATCAACAGAATCTCATCCCCAACCACACCTATTAGAGGAAAAGATGAGTAGACAAGGTAAGAACACATGCAACACGACAAAGAGCAACACAACATTAGTAAAACCTAAAGACCCTACAACAGCAAGACCTGAACAACCAAATATAGGTGAAGCAGAAGAAAATTACCTAAAAAATAACTTCAAGAGAATGTTTAAAACTCTTAAAGAGGAAATGAGAAATTCCCTTAAAGAAATGGAGGATACAATAAACAAAAAATAGAAAGACATCAGCAAATCCCTTAAAGAAAACCAAGAAAAAGCAATCAAACATATGATAGAAACTATTCAAGATTTGAAAACTGAAATAGAGACAATAAAGAAAAGACAAGCTGAGGGAAATATAGAAACAGAAATCACGAGAAAACAATCAGGAACCACAAATGCAAGCATGAACAGCAGAATACAAGAGATAAAAGAGAGAATCTCAAGCGCTGAAGATACAATAGAGGAAATAGACTCATCAGTTAAAGAAAACATTAAATCTAACAAGAGCTTAACCCATAATATCCATGAAATATGGGACACCATGAAAAGGCCAAATCTAAGAATAATAGGTATAGAAGAAAGAGAAGTTCAAGTCAAAATCATAGAAAATGTATTTAACAAAATCATAGAAGAAAACTTGCCCAACCTAAAGAAGGATGTGCCTATGAAGACTCAAGAAGCTTACAGAACACCAAATAGACTGAATCAAAAAAATAAAGAGTCCTCTCGCCACATAATAATCAAAACACTAAACATACAGAGTAAAGAAAAAATATTAAGAGCTGCAAAGAGTAAAGGCCAAGTAACATATAAAGATAGACCTATCAGAATTACACCTGACATCTCATTGGAGACAATAAAAGCCAGAAGGTTATGGTCAAATGTTATGCAGCTGTTAAGAGACCACGGATGCCAGCCCAGACTACTATACCCAGCACAACTTTCAATCACCACAGAAAGACAAAACAAGTTATTCCATGACAAAGCAATATTTCACCAAGACCTAGCCACAAACTCAGCCCTTCACAAAATACTAGAAGGAAAACTCCACCCTAGGAAGTTGGTTACATCAACAAAAACAAAGACAACTGAAGGACTCAAAGGAACAAATCTCAAAAAAAGGAAAAACACACAAATTAACATCACCAACAATGAAAAATAAATTAACAGGAGATAGCAATCACTGGTCATTAATATCCCTTAATATCAATGGACTCACCTCACCTATAAAAAGACACAGGCTAACAGACTTGATACAAAAACAGAATCCATCCTTCTTCTGCATACAAGAAACACATCTCAACATCAAAAGACAGACATTGTCTCAGAATAAAGAGTTGGGAAAAATATTCCAATCAAATGGACCTAAGAAACAAGCGGGTGTAGTTATCCTAATATCTAACAAAATAGACTTCAAGCTAAATTAATCAAAAGAGACAAAGAAGGTCATTTCATATTAGTCACAGTAAAAATTCATCAAAAGGAAATCTTAATACTGAACATCTATGCCCCAAACACAAGGGCACCCTCATATGTAAAAAGAAACACTTCTAAAGCTTAAATCATACATTATTAAAACCCACACACTAATAGTGGGAGACTTCAACACTTCCCTCTCACCACTAGACAGCTCAGTCAGACAAAAAAATTAACAGAGAAATAAGGGAAGAAACAGATGTTATGACTCAAATGGACTTAACAGACATCTATAGAATAGTCCATCCAAACAGAAAAGAATATACCTTCTTCTCAGCACCACTTGGAACCTTCTCAAAAATTGACCACATACTCGGTAACAAAATAAACCTCAACAAATACAAAAAAAAATTGGAGTAACGCAATGTACCTTATCAGATCACCATGGATTAAAACTAGAAGTCAATAGCAACACTAATTCCAG